ATGATTTAAAGTTAGCTTAGAAAGGAATCCGATATCTGCATTTATGTTTTGGTTGTGTGGACAGGTATTAGTATGCTTGTCTAATAAGGCGGGGTGGGGTAATATGACAGTTTAAAAACTTGTGTATGGCAATATTTAGTATGTTGATGCTATTAAAGGTTTGTTTCCATAGCATTTGAATGAGTTGTGTATGTTTATTCATGCTCTTTGTAGAGATGTGTTTTGTAGGTTCATAGGTATTTAGGCGCTTGTGAGTGATAGCAAAAAGCAAATGTGTTCTATAATTTAAGGTATTGCTGGATGGATGACAAGGTCCAGAGATATTCCCATTAGTAGCAGTTATGATACAGGCCAGTGTTTGAAATTTGCCAGGCGCAAATTGCAACCAAGTGAAGATGCCTGGGCGCCAGGATGGTAGCTTATGTCTCCACCATCTGGAGGTGCATGCCTGGGGATCCTTGGATCTGGACTGTTTTCACACACTAGCAACACATCCTATAGAATTCTATCCATTATATTTTATCTGCACAATCAAAATGAATTTCCGGAACCCAAAAGTTGTATTGAAAAATGTGACTTTCAAGCCGTCTGCCTCCAAAAGGGCAACTAGGCATTCTGTTTTGGCAACTGTAACCCTGGTTTAAGGAGCCATTTGGCGCCTAGCTTATATATATCTGAGTTTCTAACACTGATGCAGACAGCCAAACTATCCAGGGATGAAATAGCTTACCTTGAGGCTGTTTTGTTGTCTGTCCTTGTACTGCTGTAGAACTCTGTGGTTTTGGCATAGGTGATTAGTTGTGTGGCTTTGGTAGTGACATATATGCCATTACATCAGCAAAAAGTGAAGATAAACGCCCTTCTTTCCCTTCTCTGCTCGTTACCAATGTGTGCTATTACAGCTAGAGTACATCCCCCCCCCTTTGGGTGAATAGTAATATTCAGTATTGTGTACTATAAACTTATTAAAATAAAATAAAACCTATTACTCTGTTTAACAGAGAGAGAAGTAAGTTTTAGCCACTGGATTCTGGCTTATATTGACTTTTGTGTTTTTTTATTCAGAATATGCAGAATATGCTTGGAAAACGAAAGCTGCTCGTTCTCAGTTACCAGGGCCGACATACAACCCAGCAGCGAAAGGCATGAACATTTTAACTCGCCCACCTCCAGTGCAACCCATCCATGGAAGGACTGACTGGGTGGCCAAATATGGCGGGCATCGATAGGAGGGCTTGCTCCCACTATGTATGCTTTACTGTGACTGTTATGCACTTCCCTTCATTTACTTCCGGGACGCTTTAAAGCACGTTTCTACTAATAGAATATCAATTCTGGAAAGAACCGAGAGCCTGTATTTTATTACCTCTAGGGGGAAAAAATAATAATAAATTCGTTTTACTTAGAAAGCGTTCTTCAAAATAGTGTCTCTAAGGTAGGGTTGTTGTTGTTTAATTTTGTTTACATTACAAAGTATTCTATAAAGTATATTGCCAAAACTAATGAGTATTTCAACTCTTTCTAGGTAAGTTTTTATTGGATCCCTTTGATGTTTCCTTTTAAAATGTTTTTAAATGACATAAAAAAGCAAATGCACATTTGCCATTGAGCAACTGTGAGTCATTTCTACACGGAGAACAGCAGATGTGCAAAATGTAGGGTAAAGGGTGACTTTCAAACAGATGTTGCTTCCAGAACATTTACAGATAAAATCAGATTTGAACAATGAAAGTCATAATGATTGCTGGAGAATAATCTTCTATTGCATTGTCTAGCTAGCATCAAAGGGTCCAGAACTAAACCACAGCCATTTGACTTTGTTTTGGGTTGCTCTATGTCCTTAACTACCTTTTTGTTTGCAGAGAGTGAATCCATACGTCAGGGGTGTGGAAGCTGCAGCCTTTGAGATGTTGCTGGACTTGCAACTTCCATCATCCTGGCCAACAACATCTAGAGGGCCACAGATTTCCCACCTCGGCCATCCGTAGTCAGTGAGCCCACGAAAACAAGTGTTTTACAAAGGTGACGTATCCCCAAGAGCCCATTTCATGTGGTATTACGCAGGCATGGGACCCCTCCTTGCATGTGGATCCTGCAGAAGTATTGTGAAGGCTGTAAACCTTGTAAACTATTTAACTAGTGACCAATGTATACAGCTTGTCTCTGGGTCTGACTTACAAGTGAGTAGGGAAGAGATTCATCTGTACAGCATTTTTGCCCTAATGCCCAGACTGTTATGTGCAAAAGTGCACTGGATACATGTATGTGGTGGTTGTTACCTTTGCATGACACTGCAATGAAAGAAGCCTTTCATTGCACAAAGGATGTGTGAACAGGAGCACTGGAACCCTAAAGAGCCCCTGGATTGAGGTGAAAGTTTTCTTGGAGATCATCTGCAAGTTTAATCTTGTGATTGAGAAATACAACCTCTGAATGGTGTTGAGAAAGCCTGGTTTCTTACCCAATAGGTTTAGCATAATTGCCAAGCCAGGAAATAGATTGAAGACCTTTAATCTTTGTGCTCTGGAGGCAACTTTTATCCCCACCTTTATGGAACCAGAGTTCTGGTGTTTTGTCACAAATTGTCTGCATTAAGTCTAGGCCACTGTGGGTTTTTGTGGGTTTTTGTTTTTTTTACTCTTCACTAATTTTGTTGAATCAGAAATTTTAGTTAGTCCCACTTACTGTAGTGCCTTTGCCTGGTAACCAAAGCTGAACAACTATAGAATTTCCTACTAGTTCCTGAAGCGTATTTATCGTTGAAATCTCATACTTGTAGCATAGAGTTAGCTGCATTATCTGGCCAGGGACACATTTATGACCTCCTTTTCCCCTTTTGGATGCCATAAAGTACACAGTGGCCCCAAACCTATGTGCTATTTCAGTATATTTCTGTTTTTAGTAGATTTGCTAATATACTAGACAACAGAGATACAAACTGTGGAGATATATATAAGGTCTGCTGCTTTAACTGCTAAATGTTATAATATGTTATGTTGTATTAAACCTGACAATCCAAAGTTTAAAAAATAGCATGTATTGTATTGTATATTTTTAACTTGTAAAACGTTAGTGTTATTTGCAGGCTAACATGTATTTTTATGTGTTTTTTAATGTACAGTTCTGTTGTAGAGTATTTATTGGTTGATTTGAGGCTTGAATTAGGATTTAAGCTATAACTCACTTGAACACATTTTCATAATTTGAATAGTTTACTGATGTGTTAAGTGTGTTTTAACATGAAAACCTTGAATTAACTAGTAGCAAAAAGGGGCAAGTGATTATATTAATTCAGTAGTTTATCTAAGCTGCTGCTATGCAGGCAATATTATGTTCCTATGCAGAGTTGCAGGAACATCAGACTAATACTGTACTAGTTCCCTCGTGTTAAGTGGGGTTTCAGTCTCTCCAGGTTTACGCAGTTTCACTGAAATGCTATATTGTAGGTAACCATCTACAGGTTTGTATGTTAGTAAAAAGCAAGGAACTTGCCTTTCTGACTGGGGTGTTTTCAGCTGAAAATCATTTTCTTTTATAATAAAGTTAACTTCCCAGATACACAAGACTATAATAGTCTTCCATTAGAACACACACACACGAGAGTCTTAACTTTAGGCTGAAGCTATACATTTACAGAGAACCTGTTCCATCCCTGTAATGAACTGTTCTGTTCTGTTCTGTAAAGGTAAAGGGACCCCTGACCATTAGGTCCAGTCGTGACTGACTCTGGGGTTGCGGCGCTCATCTCGCTTTATTGGCCGAGGGAGCCAGCGCACAACTTCCAGGTCATGTGGACAGCATGACTAAGCCGCTTCTGGCGAACGAGAGCAGCGCATGGAAACGCCGTTTACCTTCCTGCCGGAATGATACCTATTTATCTACTTGCACTTTGACGTGCTTTTGAACTGCTAGGTTGGCAGGAGCAGGGACCGAGCAACAGGTGCTCACCCCGTCGTGGGGATTCGAACCGCCGACCTTCAGATCAGCAAGTCCTAGGCTCTGTGGTTTAACCCACAGCGCCACCCGCGTTCTGTTCTGTACCTAGACATAATTCTTATGTATGTTTTCCCCCTAGGTAGGGCTAGGATGGAAACATGAAATTGACCTCAGCCCACAGCGTAAATGATGTTATGGCAAGAGGGGGCATTGTGGCAGTGTCCTTTAGAACGTGTGATTTCATGCTTAGTTTCTGGGAAATGGTACAGCAGGAGTGTCAACTTGAATAAAATATTGTGGGGGCCCAGGTAAGCCCCACATAATTGATCACATGACACAATGCACACACACCATGTGAATGACAATGCCCATCAACTTTGGGGAATGTCCCCCTCAAATATTTTATTGTGGGGGCCAAAGCCCCCACAGCCCCTAGGAGTTGGCTCCTATGCTAACAGGGGTGCATGACTTCAAAGTTGAGATGTTGGTTGCGGCAGGAAATTTTGAAAACTTAGAAAGTGTCATTGTGATAACTTAATTTCTGGACTGCTTGTGTTTACAGTGTGACTAAAATTGCCTGAATCAGACAAAGGAAGAAGCAGCTCTCTTGCTACTTCAGCAGCAAGGGGTTATGTATTCATGAAGCCATTTAGGACTGTTCTTTATCTGCTTTTAGGGTCTTTCTGGAGCGTTATAAAATAGTGCCCTTCAGTGGCTGCAATGCCGTGCTATCCTCATGCAATATTGGGAATGTATTCATTCCATTCAACTACTATGGATATATCACAGCACCCACATCATCACTGGATCAGTACCATAATCTCTTTAAAGGCAATTAACCATCAACGTATATATGTGTAAGCATTTAGTATCTTTACCTGAATAGTATATTTTCAGGTACTGCTGACCAAGGGCAGCCAGCAAGTAAAACACACCCATACACACAGAGACGCACAAAACAAAATCTGCCTTCCACCCTGAAAGGTACTTAGAACTAATTGTTTTTTATTACTGGATAAATGGTTTATTTACTACTATCTTTAAAAAAAACAAAACTCAACAGATTTAGCAAACTTTCACCTGATTTTTAAAATATATATTATTTGTAGACACTTAAACAAAATTAGTCACCTTGATAGTAGCCGTGTAAGTACAGATACAAATTTATATTAAGAAGTCCCTCTATGCAGCATCGAAAATTTCAGTTTTTCAAGACAGAGAAGTGAAATATGATACAAGTTAAGGAAATGTTTTTGATAGATAACACAGCAGCAGCAGTGGTTATCACTGCCACTTTTTCCCCATTCACAATCTTCAGGTGCACAGGGCTATGGGAAGAAATGTGTACATTTTTTAATTTAAAAAGTGTGATGTGGAAGCTGTAATTTTGTAGCTATGACACTTTAGAATTGTGCAAAAGGAGCCAATAGAGATAATATGCTGGTCTGCTTCTGTAGTTAAGTATCTTCTCCAGATGCTAACAATATTTTAAAAAGTCAAAAACTTCAGCTGTTTTTATGTGGCTTGAAAGCTGTCTTCAGGTACTTTATTTGCTTTTTTATCTGTTGCACGCTTATGGCTGGAGGGGTTTTTCCATCAGCTGTAGTCCAAGTTTTCCCACCATCAACAGACTGTTTAAATTCAAACACAAACCAACATTTCAGTAAACAGCACAGTACTATAAATGTTTCACTGTAGTTTACGATAATGACAAGTCCATGTTATGACTGGGTTAACTATATCTTACAGGTACCCACATTCCATTAAACCAATAGTTCATGGCAGGAAAGATGGAGAAAGAAAATGGAAGTTTGTACCTGGCACCAGCAATTAACCCTGCAGGCATGAATTTCCTGGAGTTATAGAACCTCATTCCCATCACACCGGTTAAGGTTCCAGAAGCAACTAATGGGGGGAAATCACAAGAATTGAGGAGGATACATTAGTCCACATTACATGTAAGGCTTAATGCAAGCCAAAACTTCATTCAAGTGTTACATTTGCATCCTGCATTTTGTTCAGTGGAGCTGAAGGTTGGATGCATAAGGTTCCCAGGTGCTTCCCCCATGCAGACCTAGACCTGTCTAGCCTCTGCCAAATTGTTACGTCCTGTGCCTTAAGACAAGGGGTGTCCTCTGAGCACACCCAGCTCCAGTGAAGACAAGCGTTGGGGCGTTTAGCTCTTTATTGGCAACTATTACATCAGCTCCTGAATTACAGTAATTATATGCACCCCTCCTGCTAAATAGCTAGCTGGGCACCTCCCTCTTCAGATTTGTGCTGCAACCTGGACCATTGGAGCAACAGCTCAACGACACCCCTTCCAGCTTAGTTAATCCCCCTCATCTGATGTAGTGCACATAAGCAACTGGTGACTTCTGCAAGGCAGCTCCAGCTGCTGCTGTCACTTTAAGCCTCTTCTTGACCTTGGAGATAGCACAACTCTTTCTCTGCCTGCTCTCCTCCTCTCTCTGACCACCTGGACTCCTCCTCTTCTCTCAGCCCTGCCTCATGGGTGCTACAGAACCTGACAAATCCCCTTTCCACTCTCCACCCCTTGGACTCCTGCCTGGATCCAGTGGTGGCCAGCCCTCTGTAGGACACTTTAAAAGAGGTTAGGACTGCCAACCTAGGAATCACCTGATACCATAAGACAGGGGTCACCAAACTTTATCAGCAGGGGGCCAGTCCACTTTCCCTCAGACCTTGTGGGGTGTTGAACTAATTTTTTTTTTTAAAGAACGAATTCCTATGCCCCACAAATAACCTAAAGATGCATTTTAAATAAAAGCACACATTCTACTCGTGTAAAAACACCAGGCAGGCCCCACAAATAACCCAGAGATGCATTTTAAATAAAAGGACACATTCTACTCATGTAAAAACACTGATTCCTGGACTGTCTGCAGGCCGGATTGGGAAGGTGATTGGACCGGATTTGGCCCCTGGGCCTTAGTTTGCCTACCCATGCCATAAGACATGAGGTCATGTTAAGACCACAGCCCAAGCCTGCATAATTCCTTACATCAAACCCCCAAATTCTGCAATTTCTGGTTCCATGTTGTGTTTCATTGCTAGAATTTGAAGGTAAAGGTAAAGGGACCCCTGACCATTAGGTCCAGTCGTGGCCGACTCGGGTTGCAGCGCTCATCTCGCTTTATTGGCCGAGGGAGCCAGCGCATAGCTTCTGGGTCATGTGGACAGCATGATTAAGCCGCTTCTGGTGAACCAGAGAAGCGCACGGAAACGCCATTTACCTTCCCACCGGAGCGGTACCTGTTTACCTTCTTGCACTTTGTGCTTTCGAACTGTTAGGTTGGCAGGAGCAGGGACCGAGCAACGGGAGCTCACCCCATCGTGGGGATTCGAGCCGCCGACCTTCTGATTGGCAAGTCCTAGGCTCTGTGGTTTAACCCACAGCGCCACCCGTGCCCCTTAGAATTTGAATGTAGGCTGCCACTATTTAAAAAATGGGAAAAGGACATCAGGCAGCAGTGGTACGGGGGGAGGCTTGCTGGCCATGCCATATCCCATTTCCTTTGCAGCAAACGGGAACTTGGCAAGCGACAATGGCTGACCGTGAGTTTATGATTTGGGAAGGAAGAGATTGCAGAAGAAGGAATCACATCGGGTGGGCTGTTGTTGTTGTTTTGGTCAAATAAATCTAAATAAAATACTTACTCAGAGAAAGCCAAACATTCTTGGGATCCTGAGACTGCTGGTAAGCACCCACGCCTGCTAAACCACCAAACAAGAGACCAGCAGCGAGAGAAGGAACACTACCTAGAGTAAAAGCATAAGAGGGTTGTGGAAGGCCAATGAGTAGTATCGGCCTCAGCAGCAAAACTCCCTTGGATTTCTTCAGCATTGAAAGGCTTACTAAAGTGAGGGAGGACACAAATGCAAATGAACAGGGGCTGGCCATTCAGTTTCTGTTTGAATTTTTTACTTCATGTCACAACAGACAAAATAATACTACTGTTAAAACCGGACTCCTAAAAGAGAATAAAAACAGCACATAATAAATTAATTTAAAGTGGCGCAAATTACTAGCAACAGGCCCCTTTTCAAGGCAAGCTAGCCAACAGCAATTAAAACTCATCTAGCCCCTGAAAGGCTCATGGAACAGAAAAATAATTTGTCGACAAGGAAGAACAGAGGCGGCCTAATGAGGTCCTCTGGGAAGCGAGTTCCATTATTAAATCTACAAACTAGTATTTCTTTTTGAGAAAAGACAATGAAAGGACATTACATCTTGTGGGTGCTAAGTCCATAGTCAACCTTATTTGGAAAAACTCTAACGAACCGTTAACCAAATGGTCCCAGGGAAGAAAACACATGCTTAATTTTTTAAAGTACAATTAAAAAACACATTACATGCTCATGCTGCTTAAAATAATAATTGAAATAATGATTTTAATGTGCTGTGTGAATAAATGATTTTGTCGGCCCTGAATCTCAACATTTGGTGATAATGGGGATGAAGTGAGTTCTGAGTTTTGTGATTTATTTATTTGCTCCCGCAACAAATCAATGTGGACTACGAATCATGGAAGAAAGCAAACTGCAGCATGTTATATTCCAAAATGCTGGCATTGCTATATTGCTGGTGTCTATCCCTGAATGTTTGGCACAATGAGGACCACATGCCTTTATTGCCATATACTAAGTGCATACTAAAAATTATTGTACCAGCAAAGGATACGAAGCACAAATGTCCATGTCATAATGCTGAATGAAGGATGGAAAAAAACAGAAAAAGGGTCTGACTTCTTAATACTATACCTGCTTTTGCATAGCCAATTACTCCACCTGAAGCAACCAGTGCTGCGTAACCGTAGCCAAGCCAGTCTGTACTCATTCTGGAACATAAAGATGAAAAGGCAATGTTCAATTATTTTCAGCTGAGCTGATGGTAAAGGATTTCATGGCTATTAAAAATGGAGGCTGCAATGCCTAATTCATTAATCAAAACTTATTTAAAACATTATATCCAAGCTTTCACACAAAATAAAAAATGCTTTTGGAATGGAATATAATGGAATGTTAGCACCCATTTCCGGGTTAATTGCTTCCAGGAAAAAAAGATGTTTGCAACCCCCAGTAGCCCAGAAAATCTCAGGCGTAAAGTGAAGAAATGTGGGGCAGAATACCAGCATGCATTTCTCCCCCACTGTCTTCATGGGGGAATATTAGGGGAACAGAAGCATGTATGTGTGGAAAGAGTGGGGGAGTAGTCGCACTGCCCAATGACGTTTGTTGTCGTGTCACACCATGCCTACTTGCGAATGAAATTTAATGTGACCTGCCAGTATGTTGATCCAAAAGCCACAGTTCCAGAATGCGACAGGTACCGTGAATGATATATTAGCAAATGGGACAGAAGTGCTAGCCTTATAATCAGGAAAACCAACGCAAGATTTCCCAGGTCTAAATGCACTGTAAACATACCCTTATTTAGCATGCATTGGGGTATTGTATACACAGTCGCACAAGAGGCAAGCTTAGGGGCTACAGACCCGTCTTCTTGCAAGGGGCAGTAGAAGGTAACTCAGAACAAAAATTACCTCTCTCCTTCCTCTGGCTTTCATCTCACCTGTTTGTTTGCTAGGGGCACGCGGTTCCACTTCCCAAGGTCACGTGGTTCTTTTACAGCAATACGTCCTTATCTTATCCTCTTGGAGGTGATGTTGCGCAGAGGAGGCTGAAGGGGGGGGGCAAGGGCAACAGGATAAAAAGGTACACATTCCATGCCCTGAAATGTTTGCATATACCTGTTTTACACTTGGATTTCACTTGCAAATTTAAGAACTACCAAGTATCACCATGACATGTCAACAAGAGCCAGGCCAGTGCAGTGCAAACATGGCAGCAGGAGCATTGGCTTGGCTCCACCGGCGCATTTGCACTGCACTGATCTCGCCACCATCACTGCTCCTCTCCTCTCCCCCTTTCTGTCCAGGTATGCAGCCGTGATGCAGCCAGAGAGCGGTCAGGTGAGTGTTGCATCCCTACCATGCCATTCCCTACAGGTAATGATGCCTAAATCAGTGAATTGGAGGGAGCCTGGTGGCCTTGCTTAGTTCAATCCAGAGGGCTTCCTAGCCTCTGCTTCAAGACCTCCAGGAAGGGAGACTCCACCATTACCTCTTTGCAGTCAGTTCCATTGTAAGACAGATCTTACCATGTTAGGGAAAGTGACCTTCGCAACACAACACTTTGACACAGCAGAACGCAGATTTGTTGAGGCGAGAGCTCTGCTTCAATGTCCTTGGAAGAAGGAGGGTGGCAACAAAACAGTACCAATGAATGAGTCCCACCACAGGGGAAGTGAAGGTCATGAAACAACAGTAGCTTATCTACCCCTGACTACAGTTCATAAATCTGCAGGGGAAATCCAGGTGTAAAAAAGCACACATCCATCTACAGTGGTACCTTGGGTTACATACGCTTCAGGTTACATACACTTCAGGTTACAGACTCCGCTAACCCAGAAATAGTACCTCGGGTTAAGAACTTTGCTTCCGGATGAGAACAGAAATCGTGCTCCAGCGGCGCGGCAGCAGCGGGAGTCCCCATTAGCTAAAGTGGTGCTTCAGGTTAAGAACAGTTTCAGGTTAAGAACGGACCTCCGTAACGAATTAAGTACTTAACCCAAGGTACCACTGTATTTAAAATTAAAATTTTATGTCAGGGGAAAGGCACCAGAGGGGACCACCACATAGCGAGAAAGGAGCTAATAATCAGAGTTGGGAGAGACCCCAAGGGTCATCTAATCTTACCCCCTGCAAAGCATGGACCTTTTGCCCAATGTGGGGTTCAAACCCACAATCCTGGGATTTCATGCTTTGCAGACTGAGCTATCTCTTTAATTCATTCTGGGTGGGTTGACCATTCTTCTAGTTGCAGTCTAGAATCCCTGCAGTCGCATTTAAAATATACGAAGTCTACTCAGGCTCTGGTGGTGAGCATGACTATTCTGTGTTAAGTAATCCAGAAAAAGACACTCTTGCTTCAGAAGGCAAAATGAACCAGTGGCTTCAAAGTTTACAAGAAAGGAGATTCCGACTAAACATCAGGAAAAACTTTCTGACAACAAGAGCTGTTTGACAGTGGAAGGGACACCCTCGGGAGGTTGTGAACTTCTCCTTCCTTGGAGATTTTTAAGCAGAGATTTGTTGGTCATCTTGTCATGGATGCTTTAGCTAAGAATCCTGCATTGCTGGGGGTTGGACTAGATGACCCTTGGGGTCCCTTCCAACGCTACAATTCTATGATTCTAAGCGCTTTTCTGGGTCAGAACCAGCAAACAGGTGCAAGGACCTCAGCAAAACAGCTGGCATTAGGTGAACCACCAGAACGGGCCTTGAAACAAGTTGTGGCGGGGGGGGGGGGAGGGAGAGTTAACCCCTTCCACACCCTGCTGCGCCTGTTGAACATCCACCTGCCGTGCAGCTGTTCAGGGGCTCTGAGCCTCCACCAGCATCTAGAGCAGGCATAGGCAAACTCGGCCCTCCAGATGTTTTGGGACTACAACTCCCATCATCCCTAGCTAACGGGACCAGTGGTCAGGGATGATGGGAGTTGCAGTCCCAAAACATCTGGAGGGCCGAGTTTGCCTATGCCTGATCTGGAGTCTAAAACAATGTAGCACCCAGTAAGGAAACAGTATTCGGGAGAGAGAGCAACTGTATCCCGGCGGCGGCGGAACTGTAACTGTAACCTTTAGATAGGCTAATAATAAACAGGCCGGGCAATGGGCGGAGACCGGCTGAGTCTAGCCAGCGGCACAACCTTCGTGATGATCGGGTGCTTCCTGCAAGCGAGGGCAGCGTGCCCAATGCAGCAAGGTGCCCCGATGCACCTGAAAAGTAGGGTATCTCTTTCCCCCATTTAGGAAGCAAATCCACCACTTGGGCTTAATCGCCCCACATTTGCACCAACCAGGCAGCCATAGACCATTGCAATGGGGCGGAATCCATAGTTCCTACTCCTCCAACCCCAAATTGTAACTCAGAGGGAAGATGCGGCAAAGGCACAGGATTCCCCCCTGCTGCAACGGAGCGCACAGCGCAGCGCCCCAGACTGACCTTCTTCCTCCAAGGGCGCACAGCGCGAGGATTGCCCGGGACGCTCCCCCTCCCCCACTGACGCCGAGCTACTCGGTCTCCCAGAGTTCCCTCCGCTGCGGGAGCGCGCAAGCGTGGACAACCAGCAGCACGCCCGAAGTTTCCGTGCTCGAGAGGGAGGGACGAGCGGCACTTTGCCCGGAGTGCACGAGCCAAGCACTGTCAGTGCGCTGATTCTCTTGCTTAGCTTCCGTCCCTTGTCGTTGTTTTTTGGAGAGGTGCGTGCGTTACCCCTTGAGCATAAGAAGCTGTTTTATACTGAATCCTGGTTCAGATTTGATTCCTGCATTGCAGGGGGTTGGACTAGATGACATTCGGGCTCCCTTCCAGCTCTACAATTCTATGAATCAGACCCTTGGTCCAGCTAATTCAGTATTGTCTACACTGAGCGGCAATGGCTCTCCAGGTGTATTGGGGGGGGGTGTATTGAGTTTGGTTATTTTAGTTTTGCCCAAAGTTATTGAACTTTTTGGGTGTGTATTTTTTTTTGCAAAATCTCCCAAAATAAAATAAAATTGAAGTTTTTAAGCTATTCTTAAATAAATTCTGCAAAATCAACACTTCCGACATGGGTTGCAATGCTTCCAGATTTCCCCAGACTTTTCTGTTTGTTTGTTTGTTTTTAAAGTTATTTCTGCCCAGACACTGTTTGTTATGGCCAAATCCCAGTTATGGGATGTTCTGCATGCAAGGCAGATTACCTACTACTAGCTATGGCCCTTTCCCATAGGGATGGTACCAACTATGTCCAAGCAGATGTGCTTGAGGATGGGAGGTGATGGTTCTCTCTCTCTCTCTCTCTCTCTCTCTCTATATATATATATATATAATTTAGAATATAGGAACCAAACATGCAATCAATTACAATTCCTATTACCAGGAAAATGTTATATGTGAGGGCTGATCTTGTGAAACAACCACTAATAATATATGACAGCACTTGTTTTGGAGTTTGTGCAGGCCATCAAAATGTGTTTGTCTAATTCTCTGAGAGAGAGAGACCTGGTTCAGGATACTTTATGGCAAAGTTTGAAATCATTTTAGCAAACACCCCCACCGCGCACAGTCATTTGCAACTCATCGGCCAATAGGAAGGGCTTTTGAAGCTGGGTTTCATTCTTTCTTTACCTTTGCACACACATCTGCAGAGACTGCTTTGAATACCAGGGTTCAGTTCTCTATAAATTTCAGTGAAATGTGAAGAGTGTTTCGGAGCATATACAGAGAGCACGCTTTTCACCACAGCCACCTCTAATGAACTGGCCTTTTTCTTCTTGGGTTTTAATGGCATTGGAAGGCCAAGGGATGAAGCTTCTCAATTCAAAAGCAATTTCCGCCTCGCCCCACTTATCTTGTTTCCACAAAACAAATTACAACTGCAAACTGAGGACCTTTAACTAAATGCAACTAGATATGCATGCGTGGGAATCTCAAACTCTCCTCATAAACTCAGAGCCATGAAAAAACAATCCTTTGTTTGCAGATTATAAAAGGATAGGAGGAAATTGCTTTTCAGTGCCAGAATAAGCTCCTATGCCTTTAACTCCTTAATATCAAATAATTATTTGAGTAGAGCAAGCTAGAATATTTGGTGTTATTGAGAGCACTGTCTTAAACATGCCTTTTTAGAAGTAAGCCCCCAATGAGTTCCATGGGACTTGGGCCTAAGTAACTGTATAGAATTGCCACCTAAGACCTGGTTGGCACATAACAGTTAGCCAAACCATGACTTAGCATGAACCAGCAAATGTGTGCACTCCCAGAGAGATCACAGCACTCCTCCAGAGATCCTTCTGTTGCCCTGCTATGCAATGGCTTAACTAAGCAATGGCTTAACTTAGAGATGTGAAGGCCTGGGGGGCGGGGGACAGATTTTAAAAAGAAAAGAAAGAAAAAAAAACTCTGGTTTTGTTGTTTTCTGCAAAATCAATGTAGGTGGAAGCAGATGTCAATGAGGGATTGAAGTTATGGCACATCATTGAATGTACAATCTCAGGGACGCAGGTGGTGCTGTGGTCTAAACCACCAAGCCTCTTGGGCTTGCCAATTGGAAGGTTGGTGGTTTGAATCCCCGTGACGGAGTGAGCTCCCGTTGCTTTGTCTCAGCTCCTGCCAACCTAGCAGTTTGAAAGCACACCAGTGCAAGTAGATAAATAGGTACCGCTGCGGCGGGAAGGTAAATGGCGTTTCCGTGCACTCTGGTGTCCATCATGGTGTTCCGTTGCACCAGAAGCAGTTTAGTCATGCTGACCACATGACCCAGAACGCTGTATGTGGACAAATGCCCGCTTCCTCGACCTGAAAGTGAGATGAGTCCTGCAACCCTATAGTCACCTTTGACTGGACTTAACCATTCTTTTCCTTTTACCTTTTTACCTAAGTGTACAATGTCTAAAGGCATTCCATGGAACCTTAACGGACATATTTGCCTTCAGGTGGGTGTAGCTTGAGCATGAGTTATTTATTATCTTGTGAAATATTATACAGGGCACTTATTACTCATGTATGTTCTACAACACAATCAAAATAAAGGCACACCCACAGTTACAGAAACAATGCCTAAAACTTGTAGCTATGACACTTACAAGTCAAAGAAAAAAACAGTTCAATGTGCACACATACTTGTTTGGGAAAGTATCTCAATTCCAGAATGTAGTCATCATGGAAAGCTTCCATTCAGCAACATGGGAGTTGTCTTGGGGTGTCTCACAGGGTTCAATCTTATCCCCCTGTGTCATTTCTCATCTATATCAGTGGTTCCCAATTAGCTAATCACTGAGGACCCCCTATTTTTCAAAAGCCAAGCCACGGACCCCATACTTTTGAAAATTTTGATAACTCTATGGCAATTACTTCTACAAAGCAATTTTTTGAACAAAATGCGGGGTAGTCCCTAATAAGCAAAGGATTTTACGTATGCTAAAAACAAACAAAAAGACCATAAAATTTGTGATATTACCATGCAAAAATGACAAAAAAATAGGGGTGGGAGGCAAGGGGTGGGGCCGTGGACCCCTAATTGGGAACCACTATACGAAGCCTCCAGGAGCTGATGGCACCCTGCTCGTTCTCTGTTCCATCTGAATCAGGAGAGGTGGTTGAGGTGTTAGTTAGATCCATGCATGGAGGCAGTGGATTGGATGCAGATCCCCCCCCTTTTTTTTTGAAATGATATTTATTCAAAGTTTCATCAATACATGAAAAAAAACCCCAACCCTAACCCGAAAAAGAAAGAAAAAAGAAAAAAGATAAAATACAAATCTCAAATTACAGCTTTTCATTTGCTTAATTCTTAGACCTCCTCACACCTCCCCCCCTGTATTCCAGTTCAATTCGTTATTTCAGCAAATTCTTCCCATAGTTCTCAATTTTAATTTAAATAGTTAATCTTCACAGTTTGTCTTATTTATTAATCAACATAACCTTTCCATCATTTAATATAATCTATTATTCAATTTACCTTAATCTATTTAACCTTATCTTATCTTAAAAATCTTAAAATTTCAAAATCACATCACATTCATACATTTCTCCTTAAAATCATTTCTACTAAAGCCAATTTAATTCCTTTCCAGCATATTCCCTCAAATTTCATCTATATTACACTAATTCCAAAAATAACAAAAAAAATTCCCTTCATATCTCTAATTTTTATCCAACATCCCTTCTTCCTGGTTTCGGGTCATGTCAGTCCTTACTGTCCATTACATCTAGTCCATCAATCTGGTGTTCTAATGTCCGAGGCCCTTAAATCTCTTCTAGGCCCCTTCTGCAAAATTTTTGTTCTTATTTGTGCTTACGCACTTCTTTATCTATTGTTGGTCTCTGGGTGAGTGGGTCTCCGGAGGGTTCCATCCAGTAATGATTTCCATTTTCCTTCATCAAATTGTCCCCTTCCCCCCAGTTCCACTCCCCATCTTCATCTTTGTAGTCCAAAAAGTATTTATCCAGAAGATAGTTGTTCACCTGTTTCATAGTCCCACTAGAGTTAAAAGCTTCCTTGACTTCAAATACTTCCCAGCACTCTCCAAGTTCAATCTTCCAAGACAGTAGTTTTTGTTCCTGCAAAACTTTGGATCTTTCCATTTGTGTTATTTGAGAAATAACTACTGCCTCTTCCTTCTCCATCTGCCCTTGGACTTGCCTTGTCAAACCAGATTCCTGAATTGGTCGCTGTATAACTTCTTTGTCCTTATTCCCTGTTAAATCATATTCACTGGCCACAGCATTCATAAAGTCCAATTTTTCATTCATCAAACTCATTTTTTCGTGCAGCTGCTCCAGCAAAGCATTAGTCATGCCAAGGGCAGACACCAAACCTTCCTGCCAACACATTTCTGCTCAAGGACAAGGTCAAACGGCTGGTCCCACGATCCAAATCTCACGTAGCGTCTCCAAGTAAGCTGCAACAGCAAACTGACAGACTCCCTCTAGGGGATACAATTTCTATTTGTATCCATTTTTAAAATGTATCCAACAAAGGAAATTACTTTCGATTTCAAGTCCTTTCGGTTTCAAATACTTTGTTTCTTCAAAAAGCAAAAATGCAGAAAGTAGCGTTGAAGTTAATTTGTTTCTCCCTCCCTCTCTCTCTCTTTTTTTGGCTATCTGTCAAAATACTTCACTTTCAATCAATGGACGTCTCCAATTTCTGTCCCGACACCCCATCCCCAGGTTTGGGACGGTGGAAACTTAAATTCCTTTACTCTCCTCCTGCAGGATTAAACAGTCAAATCCCCCCCCCCTTCTCCTGCTTCCAAGGGGGTTTTGTTGGTTATGGATGCAGGAAATTTCCAACTTTAAAAGAGGTTTTCAGGCTATTAGATTGCAGGATCTTTGCTTCATTCTATATACAAGAACGGGAGGCGGACTTCCTGTTTACACCTTCCCGCTTCGTACCTAATTCATAAATTTTGCAGATTTCTTAATCCAATTCTCCGTTTTTACTCACGGGTACTTGATTTAGAGTCCAAATGTCATCAAGAAAACGTCAGCGCTCTCCGGCGATGGCTGCGCGGCTTCCCTCCATGGAAGTAGCAATCAGTTCGCTGCTCACCCCACTTCACTCCAGAGCCCCGAAAATGG